AGAAGGCAAAATAAATTAGAGTGTACTTTCTGATGCCAATACAGTGCAAAATATAGGGGGTACTATGACCATCCTTATGGTCTCTAAAACATTTCTAAGTAATAATGCTACTTTTATAAACAGGAAAAGCAGTTTGCCACAGTAGACAGTCATCTTGGTATATGTCCTTAAACTGAAAGGAGATTGCTTGTTTAAGAATACTTGAAGTTCATGTTTCCTGTTCACTTCAGTATGTTTTTTCTGTTGACAGTTACCGTCACTCCTGCCAAACTGCTGACTGAGCTGAGAAAAGGGTCATCTTCAGTTTATTCTGCTTCCTCAAACACAAAAATCTAGATGTGCTTATGTACCTTCCTCGCTTCTTACCCCACTTTCTACCTGCGCAGCTAAAACACTTGCTGGAAATAGTCTTGGGGGCAGTAGTGGCTTTTCCTTGTAGGAAAGGTGTGGTAATGTTAGAGTACAAATACAGCGTACAGGCTAAATGTAATACACTATTTCAAAGAATGTATTTTCAAAGAGTTGAATGCTTTGAGGACTTCAGAAACTGAATAGTAGGGCAGCTACTAGTATCTATTTCACAGTAAGCTTTAAGTTTTGTATTTTTCAATGGGGGAGTGAAGTGGGGGTGGAAATCTGATGTTTTATTGATAGGAGCCAATTCATGGTTTATTTTCTAGATGTCCCATTACATTAGTATGTTTTCATCATACTTGCTTCATATTTAATTATATTCTTTTAAATGTGCATACACAGTGTAGGTGGGTTTTACATAATTTAAATTTAGATACAGCCAACTATGTGTGTTTGGGTTTTTTGAACCTTTTGTTTGAAGTTTCTTTTCATTGTATTCCTTTCAGGGGGAGGAGTAGTTACTAACTATCTGGGATATTGAATTCAGTTATTTTGATGTTCTTTTTGGTATTGACAAACTTTAAAGCATCTGTGTACTTTTCTAGGCTGATTTGAGACTAGCTGTGCTAAAAAGAACCCATTGGTTAAAGCAAGCACATCAGTAACTCTGCTTCTGCTCTCGAAGTGTTGCAGGTGGAGAGCTCTTTGACTTCTTAGCTGAGAAAGAATCTCTCACGGAGGAGGAAGCCACAGAATTTCTCAAACAGATACTTAATGGTGTTCAGTATCTCCACTCTCTGCAAATTGCCCACTTTGATCTTAAGGTGTGTTGAGCAAATAAAAACTTTGACAACTGTAAGCAGTTTCCGTTAAAGTCCTTTGTAACACCAGCCACAAATCCGCCGTCATGCAGACCTTGGCTGCAGTTTTGTTTTGCTAGCTTATGTAGACGGGGGAGAGGTCAGCCATTGAAAAGAAATTACTGAACCATAAATAGTTCCCATCTGGTTTTAATGTAAGATTCTTCATGGAAAATGGCAACTTCCGATGAAATTAAACCATTCTGAGGAAGCAGTCTTGAAATAAAAATGGTGATTATGGTTTTATGTAATTTCTGGATGTAATAATCTGAACAGGATGCATTTTTTAACTTTTTTTTTTTTTTGCTGCTGTATACATTTGATGTTCGCATGACTATTATTTATAGGTACTAAATTGAAACAGTTCAGAGCTAAATACAGTGATTCTTATGGAGCAGACAGAAGAGAGATAATTTTGTCTTCTTTCTTTGCTTTTGGGGCTTTTTTGTTTGCTTTTCGAAAACCTGTTAAATTGCATCCTTTTGGTAATGAAAAGAGAGCTTTTGTATCTAAACTCAGTTATTGCATTCTTAATGTTTTGATTTCAGAATGTTTTCCTCAGTAAGATTTTTTCCAGAGGTAGCCAGCTGAACATTCCCTGAAGTCTGCTGAAGTTGGCAGATATGTCCATAGTAGGAAAAGGAGGCATAATTATTACACTGCAGTGCACTGAAAGGGGTGCTGCATTCTGAGAATGAGGTAGGG